CATCTATCAAAACAAGATTGCCAGAATCCAGGAGCTGCAGTTTAGGATTCTGAGCTGCTTTTGTTGAGTTAGCTGACCAAACAACAGTTATGTTCTGACTCAGAAGCTGAACATCACCAGTGGTTGTTACCATTAGCATGCCAGAAGAGTCATTTACTGGATTCACCCTGTTTGCAACCCAAACAACTGTGCAGACTGGGATGTTCTTGTACCAAATTCCCAAGGACCGGTTCCCAGAAGTGCCTGGACTGAAGAAACCCAACTCAAAGCTTCCATCATTGGAAATTAAGGTCTTTCCATCAGGGAGAGGCTCAGATGGAGAAATGGAGTCATTTGCCGTGGAGGCTTTCAAGAAGATCAGAAAACAAGTACTCACAAATGCTATCAAAGTAAAAACATCCATTGCATGTCTAAAATTGAAGCTATCTCCTGGCAAGGTTAATACCGAGCCTCGATTTGAGCATGCGTAAATGCCTGCACGGCAAAGAGAATTAGACTTGACTTGCGCGGGTAACAACATACTAGTGAAGAGACATGTAATGATTTGAACAATTGACTTTACTTGATTAAAGTCGATACTAAAAGGAGAGTTGTTGGAACTACTTGGAAGGGGCAAACTGGCGGTTGGATGTTGGAACTACTTGGAAGGGGCAAACTGGCGGTTGGATGTTCCAATCAATTAATTGCAAGCAATTATTGAAGAACCGTAAAATGTTAAAAGTCTGTCAGATATACCTATTTTCAAAAGTTAGCAAAGAAAAGTCATGCGCAGAGTTGCCAGTCATTAAACATGTACAGTTAAGTTGAAAATATCACCAGCTCAAGCAAAGGGTCAATAAATCCACCTCTTACGCACACATTAATTCAACATTCTAGAAAATTCAGGCTTTGTGGGGAGACCTGACTTTAAAGAAGGTTCAGTGTTTGTCTTTCAACTTCTTCTCACTTTCAGAGAATAATTCAAGGTACAAACAACATGCAGACATGAAAGTTTCGTCGTGATGAATCCACCTTAAGCCATGCCAATACAGATCTTAAGAATCAAATAGGAGTATCATTGTCTTCTATGTGTACTATACAAGACAATGGAGGAATCTACGAACAGTATTTCATTGTGATATGCAGCATGAGGCATAAAGTTCAAGATTCCTCTACCAAGCATTGTCAAACTAAGTTCTTGGTTGAATATGATTCCATCATACTTGATGAATAACCTGTTTATAGTTATTTCTTTTCCATAAGGAAACCAGGTTCTTTTGGTCAAGCCAACACAATCTTACAACCCAGCATTAGAACCATGGATGACATGCTAGGTCTGTAGTCAGAATGTTGTTGACATGCCTATTTGGATGCACTGGGCACTTCTGATAGGGGCATGACTCTTCGAAAGATGAATCAATCAGTTCCATAGGTTTTCCTTGTCTCCACAATCTCCATGCCTAAGTTTGTGCTCCCTTCAATATTCTGGTCTCCTCCCAAAGTTCTAGCCATGCCAAAGTCTGAGATTTTGGGTTCATCTCTCTATCAAATAGAACATTACTGGCTTTGAGATCTCTATGAATGATCCTTAATCAGGAATCTTGGTGTAGATAGAGAAGCCCCCTAGAAATTGCACAGATAATGTGAAAACTCTTCAACCAGGCTAATAGTTTTCTTCCTATTTAACCTGGCAAGGATGATATTCACATTAGTGCAGTTTCCTAAAGTTGTGCATTTATGAACTAATTCTGATAAATTCATGCCACTCCTACAAAGTCTCTTAGGTTTTTAATCTGACCAAAAATGAAGAAGTCCAAACTTTTGTTGATGTATTTATAAATCAGCATTTTCTCCTCTCCTTGGAGGCAGCATCCAAGAGCTTTACAAGATTCCAATGTTGAAGTTTGGCTATAAGTGCAACTTCATTCTCGAACTTACTTAATCCTTGCCCAGAGCTTCTTGAAAGCCTCTTCACAGCAATTTCTTGTCCATTGGCTATAAGTGCAGTTTCCTAAAATTTGTATCCAAAAACTTGTTATCACATTTTTTAAACAATTTCTTGTCCAATTTTTCGTTTTTATATTGAAGTATAATATCAAGAATGTACCTTGTACCCAGGCCTGGAGCCGCCTTCCCCTAGCCTCTTGTTGATTGAGAAGTAATTTGTGGCTTTAGCTATTATAGGTAGGTTGAAAAACTGAACTTCCATTTCTTCATTTTGCCCTTTTTTGCTTCTGCCACTCCCCACAAGATTTTTTTCTCTCCCTGAAACAGCAGAAAATGTGCCAACCACAAGTCAACTGTAGAATGTTATATTTGGACCCTAAGCACATTGGACATAACCATAATTCTGAACAGGAAGTATAACATATTTATATGCTAGCTGAAGTAAACAGGGTGAAATTCTTGCAAGTCCAAGATTCAAATCCCCCTATCTCAGTGTGGTCATGTAAATCATTGAAATTCAAGAAAGGAAAAAAAAAAAAAAAAAAAATGTAAATCATTGAAATTCAAGAAAGGAAAAAAAAAAAAGAAAAAGACATACTTATGTGGATGCCTACAAAATGACAACATTATAATAAGGAACATTGATATACTGCATAATTGCAATCATCTGTGCACTTTATTGAAATGCTAATGTTTTCTAAATCAACTTGACAAGTATGAGGCCATAACCAGAGAATAAATCGAAAACTCTAGTCAAGATGCAATGAAGCATGAAAGAGAACAGATAACATGCCACAATCTCTTCTATCAATGTGACAGCCAAGGTTCTGCTGCTCTAAATTTCTTTCACAAGGCATTTATAAATTGCTAAATTCTAAATACTTTAACCAAGTTCTTATTCAAATGATGAATAACTGAATGATGAAAATGGTTCCTTTTGAAACAAATCCAGGAAAGTTTGTAATCATTCTTTGCAGTTTAATGAAGTTCTAGCGAACAGAATTATGATATGATTTGTGAAGGCAGATAAAATTACCTTCTAAATTTGCACGGTTTTTCCAAATGAAATAGCTGACCAGAGTCAAACTAACAATTACAAAAACAGGAACTGAAATTATTGTGATTCTCTTCATTTTAGTCTCACCTTTCACTGCTTCATGATTGATTTCCATAAGGAAAGAAAAAAAAAAAGGAAGAGAGGTTAAATTAGAGCTAAAACATATACACAGGAGATATAACAATTGGATGCTTTAATTGATATCAAATTAAATTGGAAAGTGTAATTTAACCTCAAGGACGGATTGGAATCTCTATTTTTCCCTTCCCTTTTTTTTAGCAAGAGGAGAGGGGGGTCAATGTTAAATTGAAATGCTCGAATAAACTTGAAGGTCATACCTGATTCAGAACCAGATATTAGGATGCACGGGTCCTGCCCACCATCATGAAACTGTTTAAAATCAATCAGATCACCAAACCAAATAGCACAACCACTACCTTTCTCTCTGCTATCCAAGTGTGTGTACGCCATAAAAGAGCAGTTCTACAAGCATTTACTTCTGCATTCCTTGAGATCCAAGCTTTTGTTCACCCAAGCGTAAGTTGTATCTAGCAATTTAATATGACTAAATTTAAAAAATTGATCTCCATTCTCGCAATCTAATGGCTTATTCTGCACACACCATTGAGAACAGTCCCTTGAGTTTCAGTTTTGTGGTGATATAGGCTTGAATCCTTTCAAATATTGACAAAGTGGCAACTCAGTATTGTCACAAGTCCCATACACACCACAATGTCCATAGTTGTCACTTGTCACAGATGTCCCTTGGCAGATAGAAATATAGGATCCAATTTCTAGTTTGGTTTATAACAAACCTTGATATCATTGACCATTGATGTTATAACTGAAGCATACCTCCTCCGCATTTCAGATAAAGTTCAACTCAAACACTGTAATAGAACTTGATTTGGCCTCACCACTCTATCTGAGACCATTCCAAGGTCATGCTCCTGATCTTTAGCACAATAAGTTCAGGGTAATTATTTAGTGCTAGCCTCAAAGTAAAGTCTCCAGGAGATGGATCATCTGGGCTCTTCCATGCTGATAGCTGTCAATGAAGACCAGTTCTCAGGTCCCACCCAAGCTTCATCCCTGGGAGTAATGTGTCAGTTGGATAGTCAAAGCTCTACCACAAAAATATTTCTGAGTTGCCATCTTTGTCATCCCTCAGGCCAAGATTTCCAGAATCTAAGAGTTGTATGACTAGATTTTGAGCTTATTTGTTTGAGTTTGATGACCAAAGAATAGTCTTGTTTTGACTGGCAGGAACAAGATTGCCTGTGCTGTTTATCATTAGCAAACCACATAATTCCATGATTGGAATGTGCCAATTTGCAACCCACACTATAGTTCTGATTGGGATATTCTTGTACCAAATTCTCAAATAATGGCCCTTGGAGATTCCGGGACTGAAGAAACCCACTTCAAAGCCTCCATCTTTAGAAACTAAGTTCCTGCCATCACTAATAGATTGGGATGAGGTGATGGTGTTTGTTCCATCTGAGAATCTAACAAAGAAAAATAATAAAATGGTGTACACAAACTTGTAAAATAGAATATCTATCTATTTCCTGGTGCTCACAACCTGAAGATATACCCTCTATTCTGTTATTATAAGGACAATGATCTTAGAATACATATATAACCTCGAATGCATGTCTTCCCTGCAAAGATTGCAAACTTTTCCTTGTTAGTTAGTGAACACAGACTTCTTCAGTAATGACCTGCAGGTATCCTACAATAAAAAATTTTGCACTGTTGCAAGGATATATGACCCATTTTACAGGCAAGACACGCCAGCTACAACTTTAAAAGATAACAATGGCATGGGAATACCATCAAGGATTGAACAATGATCTATTTTACAGTTAACACAGATCATTATCAAATCACAAAGAAACTTATTGTCTGGATTTCCTTTCTAGTTTTGATCATCAAAAGCTTCAAACAAGATACTCTTTGCACAATTTATGATTCTAAGAGAGCGCATCTAACATACTTCATTAAACAAAGAATTTTAGAGAACAGCATCATCTGGTGTTATCAAGATTACCACCTTTTTAAAAATTTTAATTTTTCTTCTTTATTTTTATCACAACCAACGAACCAAATCATTTGCAATCATCTAACAGAAAGATTACGTGGCTCCTAAAGCAGGAAGCTTGGTTCTATCATTTATTGGCCACCATATGGAATTGAAATTACTAACACATGACAGATTAGTATAAAGGAAATTTGAGATTAATATACAAAACCTGGCCGTTCACTTGAGTATGTGAAAATGAAATACCTCTTGATCACAACTCAGTAGTCAGATTGCAATACAATTCAGATGTTCTTCATCAAACTAACCAGATTAAAGGGAAGTTCATCTATTTCTGAGTTCCAATGAAGATTGCTTCTCTATGGATATTTAAATCAAGGTTGATAAGGAAAACCCAGAACAAAACAGTAATCTCATTTGTTGAAGACGATGATTCAGTCAAAATCAATCCCTTCTGTATATTCCATCAATTTCATTACATTCCCAGAAAAATTGTAAAACAAATGGAGAAAAATGTATGGTCAAATTCATTAGTAACCGTGCTTGAGTTCCTGTTCAATAGCTTCTTGGAACACAAACCGGGAAGCCTCCATCAACTCAGGACTCAACCGGAACATCAAAACGCAAAACTCCATCTGACTAAGTGCGCCGTCCCCGTCGAAATCCCCTTCTTTCAACATGCAACGGAGGTCATCATCGGTCAAATCCTGCAACCCCAGAAGAGCAGAGTTCCTCTTTAGACTTTCAAAAGTGATGACTCCCTTCTCGCCGTCAACCAGCAAGTTGAACCCATTGCACAGCTCTCCGACCAGGCCGTCACCGCCGAGCTTGCCTGCCATGAGGGGCAATAAATCATGGAAATTTTGCAACGGGTTCTGAGAAGAAGATGCCATCTGAAGAGTTGTTGCAGAGACAGAAATTCTAAAATTTGGGTATGTCGAAGGGAGGAAGATGGGATTAAAGGTACATGCTTGGGCATATATATAGAGAGATGGGAGAGGAAGAGGGATTTCCGAGAAAGAGCGGCCATGGAAGCCAACTAAGGAACAGGTAATGGAGGAAATACTATAAATAACGCGTTAATGTTTCCTGGAGCCTGGAGGGTTGCTTGGGGGTAGAATGTCATTTCATCAGGAACCATGCCGGTGACGGTTCTGGTGGTGAGCCTTTTTAATGAAGGGAGGTTTCTTACGGTAAGTTCGGAAACATGATTCATTCAATTGATAAATTTTTTTATCAAATATAAAATAATAATAATAATTTAATAAAATTTTATTTTTAAAATTTATTAATTTTTATATAATATTTTTATAAATAATTTTTAGTAAAAACATTTTAAATAAAATTGGTTTTCTAACTAAATACTCTGGTTTATTTTTTCAAAAAATATTTTATAAGGATATTTTAGTATTTATACACTTCAAAATTATAATAAATAAATGATAAAATTAACATGTTGAGTATTTAATTTTTTAATATAATTT